CGTGATAAGTTTGTGTAAATTTTGTCGTGCGGAAGAAGAGACAGCGAAACATATTTTGTGCGGTTGAAAAATTTGAACAATATAAGAATATATAAACCGGAAGCTTTTTATATATCTTTATATTGTCTAAATTTGAAATTAATTATTACCAAAAAATATGAAAAATTATTTGTGTACAGTTAATGCAAATTAAATTTCTCGAAAAAGTTCATTATAAATTCTATATAACAACAAAAAACTTCATTTCTTCAATTCATTTTTTGTTTAAATTTTATTTTACATCAACCTAGTCCGCATTAAAATCAAAATTCTAGAGAATCATAATTACATTTTTTTAAAAATGTTCATAGGGAAACGAGTTATTCAATTGGGTAAAAAATATGCAACAATATCATGCAATATAAAATAAAATTTAGTTAGAGCTAAAGAGAAATCCTTATACAGAAACAAAAAATTAAAAATAATATAAAATTTAAAAACCATAATAGAAATTGCATTTACCAACCTTAATTTGTAAAGGTAATCATAATACAAGACAATAAAAACTTCATTCCAAGTAACAAGCTACATATATTATTTTCTATTCAATTATTAAATGAACCTTTATACATACATACATATTCACATATCTAATAATATGTTTATGTAAAAAGAAAGAAAAAATTTATTATACAAAACTACATAGTATAACAAGCATAAAATAAAGCAGCAATGAAAAACATTTTTCAAATCTTTCTTCAATTCCATAATTCATATGAAATACGAAACCATTAAATTGAAAGGAAAAAAAATGAAAAGAGAAAAAAAAACAGAAAAAAATTTAACAAATAAAACAAAAGAAAATAATTGCATCGTACAACAAAAACAAAAAGCAATAAAAAAGTCAAAACAAAATGAAAAAATAAAAGACTGCAACAAAAATAAACATAAAAATTTATTCAATCCTTAATCCATGTCCTTGGGCAATAACTCATTTAATTTTCTCTATATTGCTTTATTTCTCTTTTTTACATTTTCTCTTATAGTCGTTCGCTTCCTTTTTCTCTCTCGCTCTCTTTGATTTCTGTTATATTTATGGCAATCTCAAATTTAACCCTTATACTCCTTTATTTATTCTGATATCATTATTTACCTTTTATATAACAAATAGAAAATAGATAATTTTTCTCCCGCTAAACACTTATATTTTACAAACACATTATGTATAAAGTATTATATAATGCATATGCAACTTATAATACATATGTGTACATGTATCAAATGTTATGTATGTGTATTTTAATACATTTATGTTTTTAAATGCCATTTTTATATATTAAACGTCAAAAACTGAAAAATTTTCATTCATTTTCCCATATGTTAGACACATGCGCTGATTTAACTAATACACATACTTATATATTTTTCCTTTTTGATACTGTCACTGTTATCAGTGAAAGCAAGCAAAAATATTATTAATTTCTCTGGAAAAAACAAAACAACAACAAAAACTGCATAAATACAAAATATTATGCAAATTTTCTAATCAAAATAAATTCACCACTCTACATTTCTTTTTTGGAGAGTTAATTTTGACATGAGTAAAAATTGAGAGAAGAAATGAAGCAATGAGAGCCGAAAATCATGCAATTAATTTCATATTAAATTTTTTTTTTTTTATTTAGAGAAAAAATCTTATCACTAATCATAAAAGATAGAAACATGTTAGCAAATCGAGAATTATGTATTACTAAAGCATAAATTTAAAATGAGAAATGCAAATATGGAGAGCGAAAAACAAAAACAACTTTATCTCTTTTTTTTCTTTTTCTTCCGTAATCTTTTAACTCAAATATCTTTATCTTTCTCAGCATAATTGTTCTTGTTTTCTCTTCGACTCTTTCTCAATTTCTTACCATAATAATAATCTTCTTTTAATCGAAAACATTTGTCCTTAAAAGCATGTTTTGTTTTATGTTTACACGCCCGTCCTTTTCTGATAAAAGTTTCTTTCTGTAAAAAATCTTTTTGTTAAATCCTTTTTCAAGGCTGGTGTTTCCTTTACTAAAATCAAAAATACAAGAGAAGAAAAATGTCATTTATGTTTGTATAACTACGTCACAGAGATTTATCATATTATTTATTGCGTATGTATACACACATATACATAATATTATTATGCGTGATTTGCATATATGCTGCATTTGCATATATGCACTCTTACTTTACTGGACCTATGAAATTTCCATTGGATTTATGCAATACATAATTTTTAATAAAATTGAATTTAATATTGATAAAAGGTTTACTAAATTAATTAGAATTTAAAATCTTATTAGATTTTCATTCATTTTTAGAATTATTTTTCATTTATTCGCAATAAGTTATAATGCCCTTTAGCAAATATTTAAAAATAAGTACATACTTAGACAAATCGGTAAAGAAACCTTAATATTCTCGACTATAGCTTTGTATAAAAATCTGTATAAAAAATTTTATTTTTAAAAATTCATTTAAATTTTTACATTTCATAAAGAAATTGCAATTATAAAATTAAAATAAACAAAAATTAAAATATCCACACTAAAATTCTTAAAAAAAAAAAATCATACCGCCTAAAAATATGCAACTTTTAATATTTATGCATGTTTCTATATGTACACAAGTACCTACATATATGTGATAATAAAAATAATGTAGGCTCCATTTTGCATTCTGTATAAAAAACTACATTTATCATAAGCATTAAATTTGATAAAAAAAATATAGAATTTCTCCTTCTTTTAGGATACTCAAAACAAGAAAAGCTAAAAGAACAAAATCATAACGGTTTTTTTCATAATTACAGTTATAATATTTATTTTCATCCTCTATGTACTTATACTTTTTTATTTCAATAATACATGTTGAGTTTGCGCACTTGTAATTTGTCAAAAAAATTGTGTGATTTTTTCTGCTCTTTCTAATTATTCTTCTTATTTTTCCAATTGTTTCTTTTGATATCGAAATGTCAAGTATTTAGATATGATGCACTCAGTTCTCATAGTTCAGTTGTTGAGTAAACTTTGGGGTGTGCAAATGGAAAAGTTACGTTTGACGGTTTTTTTATTTTTAAAATTTCAATTTAAAATAGTAGCATTAAGCTAATAAAAAAAAAATAAACATAAAAAAAAATAAATCAAATAAAAAAAAAAAAAAGAATTTTTTAAATAAAGCAAAAAACAAAACACAAAAAAAAAAGAATTAAAAAACAACAGCAATTTTTTTATAAATTTCGTAAAAAATAGCATAATTATAGGATGCAATTAAACCATTAACAGCAAAATTAAAATTTTTCTTTTCTCACATTCTATTCAAAGTAAGAAACACTTTAGAGTGAAAAAAAAATTAATTTACTTTTTTTTTCAAATTAAAATATTAATTGTTAAGAAAATTACACAAAAAGGCGGAACTAAATATTTAAATTTAAAATTTAATTACAAAAAAGTGAAAATTATTTTATTTGAATTAAATTTATTTCGCTATTAAAAATAAAATTTATTTATTTTGATCCCAGTTTAATTTAAGATTCCTGTGTGAGAAGTGAATTGTGTGCAGAAAAAAATTTAAAATACACTAAAAAAAAATAAAATTTTCTGAACTTTTATAAAATTTACCGTTACTAAATTCACCGATTTATTACATTGCATCTGTCAAATTATTCAACTTCAGAATTATTTTGTTTTTCACTTTTATACTCACTGAAACAAACAAAACAAAAATTTGAAAATCTTCTAGTTCGTCTTTCTATTATATTGTTAACATTAATTTTCCTTTGCAACACAACAACTAAAATACTCGAAAAAAACTACTTTTAAAATTTTATTATTATAATTTTAAATAAAAACAGAAACAACAATTTATACATAAAACATAAGAACGGATTTAAAAATATAAAACTAAAATATTGCAAAATAAAATACAAAAAAAAATCATAAAAAAATTAAAGGATGCTCTGCTATATAGTGTGAAAAAAAAATATGAAATAAATAAAAATACAAAAGAAAAAAATTTTTAATATCTGAAAATATTCGAAAAATAATAATAATAAAAAAAACAAGAAGTAAATTTTGCTTCCTCCTTCACATTCCACATTTTTTCCATTTTTATTTTTGTATACTCTTTCAACTGAAAGCTAAAAATATTATTAATGTTAGAATTTTTCTTATATGATTTATTATCGTTGATTTAAAGCGCCGAAATCATATTTATTTAAACAATAATAATAATAATTACATAAGAACATAATAAAAATAAAATATTAATTATATATATATATATATAATATGCTTATATACATAACTTTATATAAAAAATATAAAAGTAAAAAATAAATAAATAAAAAGAAAATTTTTATTTTCAACATTTTTGTATAATGTGTTAACAATCATGTGAGAAAATTTATTTGGAAAATTTTATATATACACAAGTTAATATTCCACATTATATATCTAAATATTCAAATAGTATATTTATATATATATATATATATATATGCTCGAATTCATGAAAACAGAATATTGTAATAAAATTCTAAAGAAAATGAATAAAGAAGTGGTTAAAAAAAATAAATAATATTTATTATTCACTCAAACCATATATGTATATATATATATATATATATATATATAATATACATTATACAAATACAAATGTATATTGGTGAAGGTCTTTAAATAAGAGCAAAATAATATTTGAAATACCAGAAATAAAAAATATTATATGGTATATATGTATGTATGTACGAGTATATATATTTTATTTAAATTAAAAATAATATAAAAAGAAAGAAAAATAATTAAAATTATAAAAATAAAAAAAAATAAAAGTGTTTGTTATAAGAATTATGGATTAATTCAACCAGAAAATTAAGGAAAAAGAAAAAGGCAGAAAAATTTAAATGAATTTATAAAACAAACAAAAAAAAAACAAAACAAGAATAAACGAATTAAAAGTGAAGTAAAGAAAATATCCTTTTCTTTTAAAAAGGATTTTAAAAAATCTTTCTTAAACAAAATTTTTCATCAATAATTTTTTTGTTGTTGTTGTTGTTGCTGTTCTTTTATTATATTTTCTCTTTACAATATTTTTCATCAACAACAAATTCAAAATTTTTTTCCTGAACAATTTTTACTCATTTTGTACTTTAATGTGTTTTTTTTATTCTCTCGTTTTTCTTCCTCGTATCCTTAAATTAAATAAACAACAATTAATTTTCTTCCCTTCCAAATGCAAAATAGAAAGTATGAGAAAAACATAAAAAAACAAGCACAAAAAATATAATTATATTTATGTACGTATAATTTATAAAAATATTCATACAGATATTTAAAATTGCCAAAAAAAAAAATTTAACAAAATATTTAACTAAAAGGATATAAAAGAAATTATCAACGGTTAAGTATCCTTTGAATTTCTTCAGTTTAATATTAAAAAAAATAAAGAAAAAGTTCATAATAAAATTAAAAATCAAAGAAAAAATCTTTAATTTTGAGTGCAAAAAAATAAAATCGAAAAAAAAAAAATTTTTTTTGTCAAAATTTTTAAATTTTCTATTAAAAAAACAAACATAAAAAAAAATATTTTGTATAATATTTTCATCAGAAAACATGTGGATTAGCTGTTATGTTATTGCCCTTTTGGTTATTTTAAATGCTGGTACGTTTTAATAAAAAAATTTTTAATTTATTCAATTAATATTTTAAATTAATTTATTTAAAAATTTTTACAAAAATGTCTTTTTTGTAAATTATTCTTTTGCAAGTATATTTTTAATAAAATACCAATAAATTTGCTTTTGTTTACGAGTAAATTTTTAGCTACATTAATTCTTAAATTTTGCAAAGCTTTATAAATATTAGAGTAATATATTTTTACCTTTTAAATCTAAAATGATTGAAATTTATTCATCTTTAGCCAGTACTAGATTTTTATAACCTATTTCCGTCTGTAAGAATGCAATATTATCCCGAATATTTTTATGTGTTTGATTATTAACGTTAGTATTTAAAAAATAGAATTACTTTTGTATGAAATTAATTAGATTCCTGTTCGACTGCAGTTCTATTTGTGAGACGAATAATTTAATTTTTTTCTCATGATTTTGTTCTCATTACTTTTCAGAATATTCAAAAATATTACAAAAAATTATTTTAACCAAGTGGATGTTCTCACTTATTCTAGACTATATAATCAAGATTGCCTTAACACAACCAAGTACGTTGTATTTTTCTTTTTTTTTTTTGAAAAAATTTGAGTCTTAAGTCTCGAATATGCACTTTGACTGGCTGTTGCCAGAAAAAGAGAAATTCTGTTCTTCCCTAAAAGTTTTTTTGTCCTATAAAAACTCAACCGGATTTAACAGAAATCAAATAAAAATGATGAAAGTAAATATGGTGTTTTTCCACACAACCTTCGCGCAGGTATCATTATTCCGCAGACATTACTTATACTTAGTTAAACTATCAGAGCTTGTTTTTTTCCAAAAAATCCTAATTCTGACATTACTTTTTTACTTGATTAGTATTTTATGCATTTAAAGGTAAGAAACAAAACTTAAAAATTTAAAATTAATAATAAATAATATAAACAACAGGCGTTGTTCTTGTAATTAATTATAATATCATTAATGTAATTATTCGTTTTACAAGAGGATGAAAAAGGAAGATTTACTCGTATTACACAATTTATTTGTTCTTGTGATTGTGTGCTTTTAATAGATGAGTATCTCATGTAAAAAATACTTAATAATCACGTAGATTACAGTATAAAGCAATGTAAAGAACAATTTGCTGGTAATTTCTTCATACCTCTGTAGCTTAGTTCGTAGACCATCCGCTAAAAAAGCGGTAGGTTACTGGTTCGAGTCCAAATCGAGGACAAAAATTTTTTTAATATTTCTGCCTTTAACTTATTGCTTTGATTTCGACATCCATTTGTTCTGCAGTTGTATGAAGAAAATTTTCATTATTTATTTTTGAAAACCTGGTTTTTTTACTATACGCTTTGAATTTTGTATTCAAATAAGCAATTTATAAATCCCAAGCTTTTGCAAAATAATCGGTATCCGAAATTCCATTTTATAAACTTTGTACAAAAATAACTCAACCAATATACCGATTCTTAGAGCCTAATTTGCGGTGTAAATGTTTCACACTTAAAAAAAGAAAAATGATTTCCTTTTACTCCAAAACTAAATAGAATTTATTTGTCGCCAATCTATTACAAAAAAATATTTAAAAATATTTACGTGTGTACTAAAAAAGAAACGAAAAGATAACAATACACCCACAATATTTCTTGTTCAGATTAAAATTTATAAAAATAAACAAAAAAACAAGCATAAATTGTTTAATTCAAGGTTAACTAGAGTCGCATATTTTTAACTTAAGGTCCAATTAAAAAAAGTAAACGTACATTTATTTTACAGAAAAATATTTGCGCACGTACATCTTGGAAGACTCGACAAAAAAATAATGATACCATATCAAATTTCAATTTCTGAGAACTAAGAATAATTCTTTAAAGACCATCACGAATTGAGAAAAAAAATTTTTCCATAAAAATTTTATTCAGTGGTCAAATAATGCAAATCTTTCAATTATGCAAGTAGAACAAATTTCAAATATAAGGAATATTCAATTTTTGAGATACAAGACTTTAATTTCCAATTAAAACACATTTTTTTATATAATGAAATTATGTATAGGAATTTAATTCCATTGAATTAAACTTAATTAAGAAATTATTCAAAATCAAATTAAGTAAAATATATAAGTCTATTGTTGTTTGATTTAATTTGATTGATCTCAAGCGTATAATTTATATATACGAAATCATTAAAAATACAAAAAGTTAGCATGATATTTTCCATATTGACTTAATAGAAAGTCGGCCTTCAATACAAATACAAAGAATATTTACGTAGAAATTTCCCAAAATTCAAATGATTAAAACCAATTCTAAATAATTTCGAAAATAATAAAATATCCTGTTATTTAACATTTAAGCCTATTTACATACATACTATTATACTACACTTATTTGCATTTTATTCTATTCCTAGAAAAAGTAAATCAATTATAACAGAAAGAACAAAAATAAGGAAAGTTTAAGACCCCAAAAAAGGGTCACAGGAAATGGTAAAATCGGCATTTGAGAAAAAAAAAATGGTCCGGTGATTTTAGCATTCCTTATAAAACATTGTTTAGGAAAAAATAATCACTAAAAATTGTGACTAAAATTTTACTTTAATAACTTTGAAAAAAACCATCTCATAATTCTTATTGAGAATTAAGATTTTTATTAAGAAATTCTTATTAAGAAATTAAGAATGAAGATTAAGAAATTTCATTTAGAAGTCGCACTCGAATATATGCAATTTTTTTAATACTTGAAAATTTTGTTAAAAATAAAGTAATTGGAATTCAAAATTTCATAATTTAATTTATTAACACTCATAATATAAGCTCAAAATATTTATAAGGAGTTGCAATCCTTCGCAATAAGCAACAGCACAAAATTTATAGACAGCTCTTTTGAAGTTCCAAAAATTTTTTAAATTAAATAGAAATTTTTATGTAAACTAATTCAAAAGCCTATTAAACAAATTGTAATCTGCAAAATATTCATAATTCGTTCAAAATATTCATAACCTTAGATGCAGCGGTGGAAGTTGAAAGTTCGGATCCAATTGCAAAACAAAAAAATTTTTCATACTTTCCTAATTTTTCCTAAGTCATTATTAAAAGAAATGAAAACAATTCTTAATATACAAATTTCTACATAAAAACTAGAAAACCAGTGAAAAAACTTTTAAATTTGTTTATAATAAACGTATCCAGTCCGAGATCGCTCTAGACTCTTCTACAATTCTTTGAAACTATATTAATTTATAGTTACGGTTATTCATTCTTCAATGTTACTTTGATATTATGTTACGATACTCAAATAATCCGAGATAATCGATTATTTTTCAAAAGACTTCCATTTTTTAACAAACTATTGATTCCTCATACCAGTTTTTATTCCTTAGCATTATTCAGCTATAGTAATGCTTTTAAAACTTTTCAATAGAATTATTTAAGCATTTAAATTTTTAATATTATTATTTTGGTGAGTCAATCAGCCTGAATTTTCTTTTAACAAACCATTGTCTACGCGCACAAAAAATAATGTGTAAATATAAAGCAATGAAAATCTATATGAAAGCCTTTTAAATGAACTATTTTTATTTTTAAGCATCAAAGCAAAAAATTAAAGAAAGTCAAAAGAAAAAAACAAAATCTGTTTTAATTGCCATATAAATTCATTTAATGCCCAATTTTTCCCTTAATTAGGGTATTTATACAATTTCTAATTTGTTTTTGTTTTTGGTTTCATTTTCTCTCTTCTTCTCTTTCTTTCTCTTTTAATTCTTCTTATTATGCTTCTAACTAGTTTAGTTTTCCTTCTTATATCTACTCTTAAAAACAATAAACAGCGGTTACGAATTCCTTTTCTATCCATTTTCTGTGTCTTTGTAAAAAAAAAGAAAAACAACCTTATATGGCTGATTTTAAGAATTTTCCTTAAATGTATTATATAAAATATTTACTGTCCATCATTACCAAAATAACTTTCTTCTATCAAACAACGTAAACATACAAATTATATATAGGCATGTTAAAATCATCTATATATGTATATTTACATATGTTTGAACGTAAGCATAAAGTCATGTCTATTTTTTCACATAAAAATGTATGCTTCATTGGTCCACCATCACCTATAGATTGAAAATAAGCGAAACAAACACGAAAAGGTCTATTTCATGCTTTTATTAGTTATGTATATCTTTGGTTTTTCTTTTTATTAATAAAATACATAAACATATATATGGATTTATATATTTATAGTTATGTTTGAGTACATAATATGAAGTCATAAAATGGAAATAAAAAAAAAACACCAACTAGAATAAAAACGACAAAGATAAAAATCTATTCTATTTCCCTTATATCCCATTTTAATATTTAGAAAATAATACATCCTTTACGTTCTTTATATAAATATGTATATGTGTACAAATACCCCCCACTTAATTCACCTAAATATTATGCGAATGATAAATAATATGAGCCACATACAACAATATATTACAAATATAAATGTGTATGCGTCCTTATACACAATTAATGGGTGATTTTATTTTTTAAGTGTGACTCTTTAATTTTATTCATTCCTATTCTTGCACTCTTCACACGTGATTCGTTGCAGCTGTCAATGTCAAATCGACTTAATTTGAGAGACTGGCGCCCGAGCAACATTTTCAAATTATTAATATCAAATAAAAGATAAAAATTTAAGGAATGCATTCATCGTTTGATTATCTTCCCATTTTTGAACCATTTCGCTGAGATTACAAGATTTGAAGTCACTATATTTAGGACTTTTCCGAAAAAAATTTTAATGTATTATAGTTTCATTGTTTTTTCCAAATTTTTGATATCGTTTTTCTTCCAGACAGCAAGTAGTAGAAGTGTGAAATTTTAGCAGCTTTTAAACACTATTAAATAATTCATTTCGTTACAAGGAAATTTTTTTTTCCACCTCTTTTCGAAATTTGTAAAATTTAAATTTTCGGTACCATATATTCGAAACTGTAAACAATATCCAAA